GCTACTGGTACTTTAAAAAAAAAGAAAAGAATTGTTTATGATTTCACACGATACATTATTTGTACACTAAGTGTAGTATACACTTCTGTGGAAAAAAGAGATGAACAAGATGACTAGTGGTATCGTGGATAGACTTTATTATAGTGGCAAGGGCTACGCTACTAGAAAATCTGAAATAACAGGTTAGGAACAGATCATCATGAAGAAAATTCATCTATGTGGTTACTAAGAATTGATACACAATGCCACATAATCAATCTGTCTATACTACAATAATACACTATAGTATAAAAAAAATTTATATTCGGCTGTGCAGCATTTTGAATTCGATTATCACCTCAAGGTGCTTCAGAGCATGCCAAGATGTGACTGTAGCACCATCTACAATTCCTTAAAGCAATGAGACTTCTTTAAAAAAAACAAAACCATAAAGCAATTCTCTTAAAGAAATTGCTAACCAATTCTCAGAAAAGATGCAAAAAATTTAAAAAGTTACATTTAGGTACTAAGTTCAGCCTATAAAGATTATGTCTTTATGCTATGTGTACTTTACATGTACTAATAATGACACGTCTCATACACTGGTGGTATGGGCCAGGTTATTAAAGAACTCCACAAGTACAGGCAGTCCTCGACTTATGACCACAATTGGTCATAGAAAATTTCTGTTGCTAATTGAGATGGTTGTTGTGAATTTTGCCCCCATTTACAAACTTTCTTGCCAGAGTTGTTAAGTGAATCACTGCAGTTGTTAAGTTAGTATCATGGTTGTTAAGTGAATTTGGCTTCCCCATTGATTTTGCTTGTCAGAAGGTCTCAAAAGATGATCACATGACTCTGGGAGATCGCAACCGACATAAATATGAACCAGTAGCTAAACATCCAAATCACGTGACTATGGGGATCTTTGCGATGGTTGTAAGTGTGAAAAACGGACATGTCACTTTTTTCAATGACGTAACTTTGTAAGTCAAGACCTACCAGTACATGATTGCTTGCCACAAGGAGAGTTGTGAAGAATTCCATTTCAAGCATTTGGATAATTTATGTCCCATGTTTGGGACCAGAATTTTCTTTGCTATGCAAGGTGGTTGTTAAGTGAGTTACACCTGATTTTACAACCTTCTTTGCCATAGTTGTTAAGCGTATCATGAAGTTGTTAAATGAATCCAGCTTCCTTTATTGATTTTGCATGTCAAAAGCTGGCCAGGAAGATAGCAAAATGGTGACTACAGGACCCTGGGACACTGCAGCCATTGTAAATACATGGTGGTTGCCATGGATCCAAATTTTGATCCCATGACCATGGGGATGCTGCAATGGTCATAACTGCAAGGAGAAGTCATGAGCGCTGGTGGGTTGCTCCCGGTTCGGTCTGGTTCTTGCGAACCGGTAGTAAAAGCGGTGGGAGGCTCCACCCAACTGCCCGGATGTCATCATGGATGATCTGCACTCGCGCTCCCGTTGCGAACCAGTAGTAAAGGTAAGTAGAACCAACCCCTGGTCATGACTCACTTTTTTCAGAGCTATTGCATCTTCAGATCATTGCTAAACCATTGTTTGTAGTTGAGGGTTATTTGTATATAAAGACTCCTTTCCTCTATCTACAGCAGAGTTTCTCAACCTGTCTGGGTTTGCGGCCCAGTTGTGGGGGGAGGAGGAGAGGGAATGATTCCGTGTGAGTGGTGGGCAAGTGTGCACACATAGCTCCATTTGTGTAAGTGGTGAGCACAAGCACCTTCCGTTCACACAAACGGAGCCCGTGCGCACATGCTCAGCCAATGCTCGTGCAAGTGGGGATATGCTTAGGTAGTCGCCCACCACTTCTGCAGCTGGTTCTGAATGGCTCAAGGCCTGGTAATGCAGCCTGGAGGTTGGGGATCCCTGATAGACAAATTAATCTACTATCCACTGAAGTGGTGAAATTCAAATTCTTTTACTATTGGTTCTGTGGGCATGGCTTGGTGGGCGTTGCTTGGTAGACATGGCAGGGGAAGGATACCGCAAAATCCCCATTCCCTCCCCACTCCTGGGGGAAGGATATTGCAAAATCTCCATTCCCAGCCCTCTCTGGGGAGAGCCAGAGGTGGTATTTGTCGGTTCTCTGAACTACTCAAAATGTTTGCTACTGGTTCTCCGAACTTCTCAAAATTTCTGCTACTGGTTCTCCAGAACCTGTCAGAACCTGCTGGATTTCACCCCTGATCCACTGGGATATATAAAAGCGAAAACTACTCACACATTAATCACAAAATCTCCAGAACTATAAAGCCTACAAACTTGAAATTTGCCACATATGTTCCTCTTGGCTTCTAGGTGCTCACTAAGAAAGGATTTTTCAAAATGACCATCAGAGCATTAGTATTTCCTATATTATTATAACACACTCAGATGCTAATTAGTTAGACGTTCTACTCCCTCTCCCAACTTGAAAATAACTCTGGAGAGAATGGGATAGCATAGGACCGGCTTCTGTGGGGCAAACCTCATGGAGAGAAGGGGCTAGAAAGCCTGAGGGAGAGAAGGAGATAGGATAGGAGACGTTTCTGTGGGACCATCCTGAGGGAGAGAAGGGGAGAAGAGAGGACAGGAGAGGCTTCTGTGGGGCCAGCCTGAAGAAGAGAAGGGGATAGGAGAGATCTATGGGGCAAGTCTGAGGGAGAGAAGGGGATAGAGAGGAGAGGCTTCTGTGAAGCAAACCTGAGAGAGAGAATGGGAGAGGAGAGGCTTCTGTGGGGCTAGCCTGAAGGAGAGAAGGGGAGAGGAGAGGCCGATCGTAATTCTCATTAATTTTCAAGCTGTAAGTGTCGATCTATCAAGCCCAATCACATAATTTTGTACCGAAGCAGGGGTATCAAGCTATTTTACAATATTTTGAAAATAGCCAATTTGGAGTCTTAAATCCTCTCTTCAGTGATTTAGCTTTGATTGCTTCAAACAATCCTAAAAATAAAGTATTTTTTTGAAGTTGATGGAATGAGACATGGGATGTTCAAGTGAACAGGCTATATACTGACCTGAATTAAGAGCTCACAGCTCACAATCCTGAAGAAGAACTACATACTGCGATTCATTATACTCAATTCTATTTTAGTTTAGTTGCAATTCTATTCTTTTTTTTTTCTTTTTTGTTTCTTCTATTTATTACAATTTGGCTTTAATAGGTCATATCCCAAAATAAAATTATTATAAAAGAGGTTACATTAAAAACAGTTTTGGAGACACGTGAAGTCCAAATCTAAGAGCCACCAGAAAAGCAAAAATCAGAAACTACCCATAAAGTCCTTGTTTATAGTTGTTTAAAACTCTCTTGTTACAGTGCTTTTACCTTTTGAAGTAAGGTAAAAAAAGCTCTTTGAATAAAGGATTGCTTTGATCAGAGGGATCTATAAAAGGTAGCCCTTGACTTTCAACCATTCAAAGTTGGTTGGCCATTCAAAGTTACAACGGCACTGAAAAAAGTGATTTATGACAGTTTTTCACACTTAGGACCATTACAGCATCCCCAGGGCCATTGTGTGATCAAACTTCAGGTGCTTGGCAATCGGTTCATATTTATGACAATTGCAGTGTCCCAGGATTATATGATCACCTTTTGTGACCTTCTGACTAGCGAAGTCAATGGGGAAGCCAGATTCACTTAACACCTGTGTTACTAATTTAACAACTGCAGTGATTCACTTAGCAACTGTGGCAAGAAAAGTTGTAAAATGGGGCAAAACTCACATTACAACTGCCTCCCTTAAGCAACAGAAAATTTGGGCTCAGTTGTTGTCATAAGTTGAAGGCTATCTGCATTTGTAAATGAGGGAAGCATATCCCATAATTTCATTATAAATAAAGGAAAAACATATTTACATCTTGAAATCCAAATTCATATTTTTTCTATGCAATTCCTAATCCTTAAAAATATTATACTTCCCAGAATAGATAAAGGTGCCTATATAAATATACATAGTAATGTAATCCAGATATGTATGAGAGTAAAAATCGCAAAACATTTGTACACCAGCAGTGGATATAAACATGTGTTTATAAAGAAATGTATACAACATGTATTTGTTCAGTTTTGTTAAGTGATACAAAAATGGGATAAAAGGAGTTTCATGTCTGGCAAACAAATAAAGAGTTTCACCTATTTCTAGTTTTCATGAGGCACTTCAGCACAGATGTTGAATAGTTCAAAGACAATTAAAAAAATGGAAATAAATCATGTTCATCCAAATGTGTAATAATTTTAAGGGTGAACAAATTGGTCATTATATTGAAACTGTATTAGCCTGTTACCATTCAAAGATTCTGAGAAAGTAGCAGTATAGCCTACTTGGTCACAAAAACATCTTTCAGGAGACACAACTTCTTTAACCAAAAGTTCTATTAGATCAAATTAGTTTGATCTCTAAAGGGTTCTTTCCCCTTTGATCTGGTCTCCCTTCTCTTAACTAATATCTCTTCGGAGATATCTTTTCACTCTGTGTAACAATGTAAGCTTCAAACTTTTAAATCAGCCCTTAAGTCTTTCTCTCCAATTGTTCTTCACTCCCGTTTTCTTTCATCTTACCCGAAGTCTCTCTACCCCGATCTCTTCATTTTATATTGTTCCCTTGGTGCCCTTTTGGCAGGCTTTTGGGTTCTGGTGCAAAATGTTACTTTTTTTTCCTTCTCAAATCTCAAACGTGTTATTTTTCCCTAACTGCAATAAAGCTAACCTCAATGTGAGAACGAAATATTAAACCCACTTTGTGTGTGCGTTATATTCCAGATTTATAAAATAAATATCCCAGATTTTTTTTTCTTTTTAAAAAAGTACAGTGTTTCTTTAAAAATCTCCATCTGCGTTTCCCATTTGATGCGCCTCTAAGGTTTCATGTGATTAATCGTTGCGTACTTGGCTTCGGTTGGAGGGGCTGGGGATGCGAGTTAAGCCCTCCCTCTCTCAAATTTCTCCTCCCAAACTTGTTACTCACCCCCAGGCTTTAAAAAGTGTTTCCTGGGCTCAGTTGTTTCATAGCAAGGAAGCTCCCGACCTGGGAAGGAGAAGGACATTGTCTTGTGGACATTAAGGAAGAATTTTGCCAGGTTTCTCGAACGCCTCGCAGCAGCCGCTTCTATCATCAGCGCTCATTCTCCGCCAAACTTTCTTGCTCTCCGACGATTTCATTCAGAAGTGCCCGCGCTCTGAAGCCGCAAAGCTCCATGGATCCACCTGTCACTAGAAGCTGCGTGAGGAATCCCCACGCTCCTTCCATACTCTGGGAATGCCTGAGCCGCCCTCTCGGCCAGAACCGAGGACCCAACGAGCACAACAACCCTCCAGGCCCCATTCTGCCCCCGAGACTAGGAATGGGTTACTTGGATTTCTCGGCCCCCTGCGAAGCCGCTGCTCCTCAGAGCCTTCCTTGCGCTGAACGCGCTTTCGAGGAACCTGGCATATCCTTCCAGCCGCCCGCCTGGAACGTGGCGACTTCTGAAATCATCCTGCCGGCGAAGTTGGCTTCGGGGTCAGGAGGGCTAAAAGAGGGCAGCCCCAGACCCAGCAAGAATAACCTCCTCGCAGGGAATGTGGCAAGCGATGCTGGGAATAAAGCCGTCTACTGGAAAGTGGAAAACGCAAGTAGGTGGTCTAGATGCGGGTTGGCCGGCTTGATTTTCATTCAGTCTTTTAATTGAAGATCCTCCAGGCGCTTCTCCGCTCTGCTTTTATATTGAATCCTTAATCAAATTAGAATGCTGTGTAAAGGTAATTTTCAAAGAGATCTCTCTGCTAGATTTAGATTGCCCCTTGATACAAACTTTTAAAGAGACTGAGATATCATGATCTCAAAAGAATCTTGGGAATTGTTTTGGAATAGGGAGGGACAATATATGATCTTCCAAGTGCTGTCAGTCTTCAGTGGCCAACAGACAGGGAGATGGGGGAAAGGAATTCAATATTTGGAAGGCCAGAGGTTGCTCTGTGTGGGTTAAGGTCCCAGGGGAAACTTAGTTCTGCTCCTCTTTCACTTCGGAGTGATGGCTGTATAAGCATATTTGGAATTTCTTTGAATGATAAGTGGGACTCTAAATATCAAAACTTGACCATTTCTTCCTCTCTGAAAAAAAGGAAAAACTTGGAAGTTGGATTTATTTAAAATAAGATCATATCTGATTCCACTTTGAAATCTGACTATTTCCAGGATATGGTAATTCCAGTTTACTGGATTACAAATTACTGTTTACTTGGTTTCCAAGATTACCAGTTTGTAACCTGGAGATATTGTATAGCAACTGTCTAAAGAGAAGACTGTCTAAAGAGAATGCCAGTTTGTCTTCGACTGCCAGAGTAAGGACACCTGAATAGAAAGGTGTGGTACAGTATTAATAAGAATGTCCCATTTTTCAATTACTTCCCTTATTTATATGCAGGGAATGAGACTGTGTTCTGGCTTGCTACATCAGGTGAGATCGGAGGTTGGTACTGAGATCAATGTAATAATGATGTGTTACAGTAGATGAGTCCATCAAAAGGAATTACATCATTTTTACTCACAGTTTGGCAACTCTAGTTTGAAAGGATTTGACTAACACATAATCTAAGGTTAGGTTCTGCTCTCTTCTAGATGTGGCTACTCAGTGGTATGATGGTATTAAGAGCACAAGTGAGTATTCTTGTTCATTGGATTATACATTTTATGGAATTAAATGCTGATTGCATCAGCCCATCTCATAAAATCTGGCAGAGAAGGTATGTTGTGGACACTATTTGCCAGGGACTCACTATCTGTTGGGTCCCAAGGAGGTGGGCTTCTCAACTGTGGGGCTTGCCCTATGCAAGATTCTCCTTCCCCTCCCTGAAGCCAGGTTAGCTCCATCCCTGTTTTCATTCTAGAAGTCCTTCAAGACCTGGTGGGGTCACTAATCCTGGAGCCCAGGGGACTGGAGACATTTTTAGATGGCTGCATTGTGTAGATGTTTTTTTTCTAAACAAAATCCCAGCTAACAGCGAAGTTCTACAATTGGGTTGAAGTTGGTGATCAGAACAGGAAGCAGATTTGGTCTAGTGGGGAAAGTAGTCAAAAGCCAAGAAAGTTCAAGGATCTTTTTCCTGGATTCTTTAGTATCAGATAAAAAGCAACAATTAAGCCCAAATAGAGTTGATAAAGTATTTTTTTAGCCTGTCTTTTGCCTTAAAAAGGGCAACTCCAGCTCCTTAGCCTTGAAAACATTCCAGACTTGGATGAAGTCAGTGAATGTGTACAGGAAGCATATGTCCCCCCCACACTCTTTCTGTGTGTATGTATGTTGTGTGTGTGTGTGTTTGCTTTAAAGTTCAAGCACATTTCCCCTTTATCTGATACCAGATTTTCATTGCATTGTTACCAGCTGCTCTCTGTTTTTCAGGCTCCTGACCTGGTATAAGTGCCTGATGAATAGGAAGCTTATTTTTCATCAATTACAATAACATTAACAATAAATTCAAGCATCTATCATGGTATTTCTTTCTCTGTTTCAAAGGGAAAGATTGGTGTTTTCTAGACTCTGCCTGCTCCCTCTTATTTCCTCTACCACATATTATCTAATTGGATCTTTTCAAGCATCTGGAGGGTGATGTTTCATAGAAATTTTGCAGCGCTAATTTACCTGGGTCATATTTTCTGCTTGTAGCAAACCATATTCTAGTTTATGCATTATTTATTTTGTAGCTTTTTCATTTTTGTTCTGCAGCAATAACTTAGGATTCTTTTGATCTTTTTCTCTGTTTTTTTCCCCTAGCTTCAAGCTGTGTTCACACATCTTGCTGGCTACTAGTTTAACTAAACCATCATTTGTTGAATCATTGTATGTACTGGGTTCATGTCTCAGCCAATGACTGAGCCTAGAATTCATGGGAGGGGGAGTGTGTGCTCTCCTGATGGGTTTGGTTGGACATAATGATAAATATTTCCCTTCTTTAGAGAGCCAGCGTGCTGTCCGCCGCAACCCTACAACTGCCTCAAAGAAAGAGACCTCCAGAGCCCGGAAGGAGCGCACAGCATTTACTAAGGACCAGCTGCGGGAGCTTGAGATGGAATTTATTCACCACAATTATCTGACAAGGCTGCGGAGATATGAGATTTCTGTGAATCTTGATTTGACAGAAAGACAGGTGACGCTTTTCTGCTTGGTCTACCTCTGCCTAAAGTAGTCTCCTTCTGGCTGGGGGATTTGGGAGTTGAAGTCCATGCATCTTAAAGTAGCTGAGATTGAGATACATTGGCCTAGAAAAGAGGAAGAAGTCTGGGGATATTCAGTACCTGCTCACTTATAACCATTTAAAGTATCCCCATTTTTTTTAAAGGGAGAAAGAAGGTTACCCAGTTCCATATAATATTAACATACCTTCCTTCTAGCACAGGAGTGGGCAACTGTGTCCCTTTTTCAACCTGTGGACTTCAACTCCCAGAATTCCCGAGGCAGCATGGCTCAAGTTGTAAAAGGGCCACAGTTGCCCACCCCTGTTCTAGCAGTACAAGTTTGTTTGTATCCCACCTTTATTATTATTTATAATAACCCAAGGCAGTGAACATCCAACACACCTTGCTCTCCTATTTCCCCCACAACAACAACAACAACCCTCTGAGGTAAGTTGGGCTGAGAGAGAGTGATTGGCCCAAGGTCACCCAGCTGCTTTTCATGGTTAAGGTTGAACTAGAACTCAGTCTCCTGGTTCCTAGCCTGATACCTTAATGACTAGACCAAACTAAGTGAGGCAATAATGCACCAGATATTTTAAACCACAATTCTCATAAGACACCATGGCTAAGACAAAGCTAGCTGATTTTTGAAGATTTTCTCCTTGAAAAGAATTTGCTTTACCATTAGGCTTAGTGCTTCCTGTCTGTCTTGCTCTTGAGAGTTAACTGAGATTGGAAGAGTTCGAGGATATGGATTTTCACATGACATTAAATATGATTTGTTTCAATCATGTTTTGTGTAAGCAGTCCTGACCTAATAGATTCAGAGTGCTAAACCATAAACTACTGTCTGGTTTGCAATTCTTCTAAAACAAAAGCAACCAACTCCACAACTGGATGCGATATAGAAGGCCAAATGCAATGGCAATGCTCTGAGTAATTCTGTCCTGCAAACAAAACACTGAGAAAAATGCATCTGGAATTTGCCAAGCCATTTCCATAGAATTCCTTTAAAAATTATGCCTGCTTGCTCTGGCAGTTTTTTGCTGGCTGCTGGTAGAATGCAGACTTTGGCAATCATTTGGTATTAATGATTACTGAAAAAACAGTTGAGCTACTGCAGTCTGAGATGCTGTAATGGAATGGCCTGTCAGGAAACCAACCTGGCACCCCTCAGATATGCTAAAGTACAACCTCCTCCCTCTGATCAGTGGGCACCTGGATTATGAGAGGCATGATTCAAAGTTTATGTAGACTACCTGGTTGCAGAAAACTTGGTGGCTCATTCAGAGTTTTCAAGAATGTGCAATAAGCCAATAGCTTTTAAACGTGCAAGGTTCCAGCAATAAGAGCAGACTAATTGAAGACCCAATAGCTGGATTCTCAATTGTTTGAAGCCATGGTTTGCTTTGACCATAGTTTTAATAAACGGCAAAGATTGGATATTGATTATACACCAAGATCAAACCTGTAACATTATTGGGTGTGGCTTAGCACAATGTATGAACCCAGTCATGATCTAGTACACAAAATCCTTGTGTTATACTAGTTCTTGTTTTATTTAGCCTTTTCTATGTGATTGACGAAATAAATCACTGCAAATATAGCTAGTAATTCTCTCCCCCCCCCCACATCCTCTGTAGTGGGAAGCAGGGGTTCAACTGCTCTTTATACAACCTAACACCTTAGGTTTGACTTGGAACAGAAAAACTTCCCAAGAAGCTCACAGTTATCTCAGCTTGAACATGCAGTTACATGCATCTTAAATTAACCAGAATTGCTGTCCTGTTTCTTGTGCAGGTTAAAGTATGGTTTCAGAACCGCAGGATGAAATGGAAACGTGTGAAAGGACAACCAGTGTCACCCCAGAACAACATGGAAGAAATGGACCCTGCTCTCTCCTTAAGTCCAGAGTAGCCTGTTCTCTAATACACTGATCTCTAACAACCTTGTAAGAATATTGGGGATACTATTATTCCTTAAGATTTATCTCATGTCTTTGATGTTGGAGGCAGGAAATAGAGCCATTGGTGCTTCCCAGAATTATAGATTGCTTTACTCTCTCTTTCTTGGAGCGAGTAAATCAAGAAGGAAAAAAGACCAGAATTGTGCAAAGAGAGATTCCCAACAATTCTGTGGTTGAAATCAATGCCCTTTTTAGAACAAAAAAGCTGACTTGGAAACAATATTGAGTGCAATTTACTACCTAGACTCTCATTCTTAAAGCAATGTTGTTGCAACTTTGAAGTAGCAACCCTGCTGTTCACATGTATTGTTTGGTTAGCCTCCTCTGATCTCATAAAGGAGCTCTTATAGAGATAATCTCTGGAGATTTTCACTTGAAAACAAATGCTTCCTTCCACGAATTGGATAAGCATACATGCTATGTGCTTTTGACAGCAAAATCAAAAGATGGGTAAACTACCTTAAGGCATTGAGGTTTATGGAAAGATGGCACAGATACATTATCATTGCAGTTATGAAATTTGCTGCTCTCACAATTCAGTTCTCCATAAATGCTGTTTTTGCTTTATATTTGTAGTGATTTTAAAGGATGCCTTGAAGATCTGGTACCAAGACAACAATCAGCTAAATGTGGCTTGAGTCCAGACCAAGAAAGTGCTTTATGGAAACGCTTCAAATAATCCCATCCCTTATTCACAAGAAGATAAAAGGAGGAGAAAGGGAAGCATATTCACACTTGCAAGCTCCATATTAGCCTCACCGGATAGTACAGGTTAAGAAGTAGAAACCATGCAAACCTATTTTTATTAGAACAGCTATAATAACACTTTTTGCAGCTCATTGTGAATTAATCAACTAATTTTACCTACAGTATATTATACCTACAGTAGCCATAGGGCAAGATATGTGGCAAATAAATTTAATAATAATAATAATAATAAAGTATATTTTACTTGATTTGCATCTTTGTGTGTTTTATATAATGTTGCTTGCCTCCAAATGAATAGCCTCTATGATTTATAATGTTTTATTTTATGGGTTTGCCTTATATAGAGTCAGTAGTTGGTCCATTAGAAATGCTGCATCCCAGCTGGCCCAGATGAAGCATTCTAATGTTCATACGTGTACTGAATTACATGTGAGAAAGCTAAATATTTTTGTGTGTGTGTGTGTGTGTGTGTGTGTATGTATGTATGTATGTATGTATGTATGTGTATATAATATATATTTATATATATATTAATATATATATATATATATATATATATATATATATACACACACACACACACACACACACACACAACACACACACACACACATATATATATATTGCCCACAATTACCCAGTTCTTTGTGCCTAAAGCAGGGGTCTCCAACCTTGGCAACTTTAAGACCTGTGGACTTCAACTCCCAGAATTCTGGGAGTTGAAGTCCACAAGTCTTAAAATTGCCAAGGTTGGAGATCCCCTGGCCTAAAGCATTCCTGAATCTCTGTTTCCCAATTTCTAGCCTGATGCCTTAACCATATTCCACAAAACTGATTCTCTTGTGTACAAGAGCAATTCTGAAACAAAAATGAAAAGTTTGTACAGAATATTCACCACCTCAGAGCAGTGAGGTATTTCAGTTCAGTTATTTTGTGAATAAACCATTGGAAGAGTGTGATATTTCTGTTAGATTTATTTTCACATACATGGAAACTGAATATGAAGTAGAGGTTTGTAGCTTTAATTTTCCAAACAAACTTATGTTCATCATATTTCCTGCAGAGAACAGCAGCTATATTTATCCCTTGCAGACAAAATTCCATCCCTGACTACCACAGTCCTTCATATCAACACATTAGTTATCAAGTAGGAAATTAAAAGACATCCCTTCCAGAACATCCTACATTTTTTTAAAAAAAAAAGCAGGTAACCACAATAGATACATAAGATTGGTCATGTTTCTGAACAACAGCTCCCATCAATCCAAAGAATCATGATCAATTTTAAAAGATGTTGGAAGATACTCTAAAGTGATTCTTTCAGTTTTTGGCTCCAACTCAGGGTTTTGTTTTGTTTTTTTTTCATTTTTGCCTTGAACTACATTTCTCTTCCCACAAAAGAATTTTATTCTGTTCCAGTTTGGACTCAGATTATACAATTTTTAATTGGAGTGATAACAGAACAGAGTTATCAGAGTGATCTGTTAATTCAGGAACATCTTTGCCTTTCCTCTATTAATAAATTGCTTATCATCTTTCTGAGAAGAGTCTGCCAAATCCCTCACACATGGATGACCTTGTTTCTGCAGCTTAAACATTGAATCTGCTGTTACTCTCAGGAAGTAATAGTAATTAACTTTCCTTTCTGATATGATGCACTAGCTGAATTAGAGTAAGCAGCCATACACTTCACACAAGTTACTTAGGGTGCTGAATGGCAAGGATCCCAGTCTCAGCTCAGAAATGACCAGGTTATTCAGTTGCACAACACTTCTGGAGTAGCACATCTCAACTTTCTTAATGAATTCACTCATTTTCTAAGTTGATGTAGCACAGTGGATCCTAAAACAAACAGGATGTGCTAAGCCATTCAAAACTAGCCAGGTTTCAAAGTTTAAGGTACTGTATCAAATTTAAGAAACCTAATTAGGCAAATTATGAGAGTCCAATTTCTGTTTCTCTTCAGCATGGACAGTCTTTTGCTCACACATGGAATCAAAAGACATGGGCTATGAATCAACTTTTTGTTGTAATTGAGAGCAGACTTTCTAAGCATCCAATCTAAGTATGTCCAAGTATATTTGTTCAGAACCACGAAGACTTAAAACTGGAGCCAATTGCAAAACAAATACTTAAGCAGGTAAATATCTGCAAAAGTTTAACATGTTCTCTGAACATGCTCCATTCTATAATTTGAGATTAGTATCAGAATTGACAGCAGGCTGTTAATTTTGTTTAATTTAGTTGTATTTTTAATTTTATGTAAGAAACCCTCCTTGATATATTGCAAACAATACAGAGATCAAACAGGTTAAAAAAGTCAATGCAAGTGTGCTCTGTGAGAAGGAGAGCTCCTTGGATTTTTACCAAAACAGAACAAAAAACTCTTCAAATTCCTTAACCTCAGTTTTAATTTTAAAACAAATAAAAAATAATAATAGTTGTTGTTGTCGTTGTCGTTGTCCTGGAGGGAATTAAACTGCAAATAAGCCACTTCTTTTTCCTTTTTCTGAAGCAGAATTCTGGTCTGAACATCCAAAAACCAACATTAAGGCAGACTGGTGTTTGCAGCACCACGGATAGCTCCTAGCAGAAAACTTAATGCGAGTTGGTAACTATGCCAACTGAACTATTTATGGGCCAACAGATACAAATTCGGATTTCAGTAGGGACATTTTTCAGATATCCTTGGTAGGAATTCTGTAGTTCCTTCATTGGAATCCATATTTTGCAGAAAATAGGGATGTGGGTAGAACAGCCTTTTGTAAGATCAATATTCTGGGACAGGCCCAGGGTGGTCATGAACATCTGAGCAGTCTCTGATTCTGCACCAGCATTGCACATCTGGGAAACCACCATTAATTATACCATCAAACCACTTAGGTAGATTAGCTATGATAGCAATAGCACTTAGACTTATATACCACTTTACAGTACTTTACAGCCCTCTCAAAGCGGTTTACAGAGTCAGCATATTGCTCCCAACAATTTGGGTCTTCATTTTACCCACCTCAGAAGGATGGAAGGCTGAGTCAACCTTGAGCCTGGTGAGATTTGAACTGTCGAATTTCAGGCAGCCGGCAGGCAGCAGAAGTAACCTACAGTACTGCATTCTAACCACTGCGCCACCATGGCTCATAATGATGCAATAGGGAGGCAATTATAGTAGCAGCAAGCCCACTGGATCCCTAGTGCTACTTCACAAATGGAACCTTATATAGCTACTCCTTCACTTATGACTGCTTAGTAAATGGCCCAAGCTATGATAGACTCCACCAAAAGCTACTTATAAACTGGTTCTGAAGTTCCAATGGTCCCATCCCCATGATAACATGAACAAATTTGGGGTGCTTGGGGATTGGGTTGCATTTATGGCCATCTGTATCATCTGTAATCAGATAACTGTGTTTCACAATATTTTTGCCAGAAACTGAGGTTTATTTTTGCATTCTGGCAAAAGCCCAAATGGGTTCACCCAACAACCATGGTGTTCACTTTATGGCTACCACATTCACTTAATAATCATTGCAAAAAGGTCCTAAAATTCAGCTTGTCATATGATAACCCTGTTGTCAGTCCTGGAAGACATCTTTTACTTTGAATCTTCAGGGCTGCCACATTTAGTGCTGTGGGAAACTGGGAGGGGGGATTGTATGGAGTGGAGAGATATCTAGCCATAATAATATTCTTTTCTCTGAGAGTCAAGGACATCCTGCCCTGCACCTGGAGTGATGTGACTGGGAGGCATGTCCAGTTGGGACGGTGCATGGATAGGACTATATGATGGACATGTGGGCACTGTGGCAGGGACTTGGACTTTCTTTTGGGTGGGGAAAACCTGGAAGCTTTCAGATTCGGGTTTTCTCAGATGTGCCAATATGACAACTCTAATAAAATGAAATTTTGAGGAACTTCTGGCCTCAGAGTCTTCTTTTGTTGGTGAGGTTAATTGGAACCCTGACATTAACCCGAATCTCCTTTAAAATTTGAACCAGCTCCTGAGGTCCTGAGCCCCAAGTGCTGCCCCGACATCAGGCGGTTTGAAGATTCAGGGAAGATGGAGGAAGACAAGGCAGGAGAAAAAGAAGGACCTGATTCAATGGTCCACATTGAGACCTCTACTCCCCTTCTGAAGCTGTGGTAAAGGCAGCCAAGTCCACCGAAGTGGAGCTCTGACAAGGTGCCCAGCCCAAAGAGCCAGTGCCTTGGCAAGCTGCTCAACTGGACCCTTCTCTGTGGGGTGAAGCTGCAGGAGTCATGCTGCTCCAGGAAGTGTTGACCAGGCCAACGCTGTGGGAACAACAGATAGAGTGGGCCGAGTGGAGCAGACCCAAGCCCTCGAGTGGAGAGCATTGGGACTGGTTAATCTCTGTAACTCCCAAGAATAGGGCTTCCTACTGCCATCATGCAGTCAGTCGCTGGCCGGCCTATCAGAGCAGTTTAACTAGCTCAGCATGGGCAGTATCATACAACCTCCTAGTACTGGCCCAACTGGATGGATCTTAGCTCAGCCAATGTTCACCTTTCCATGCCAGGGGACCGCAGCAACACTGAGTGGAGCATCAACCTCCTTCACTCGGCACGAAGCAAATCGCACCATAGCCATACACGTCTGACCCGGTCTACCAGAGTGGCAACCCCTGCTGGAATTGGACCAGTGCCCCAGCAAGGCCCACTGAGCCAAACCAATAAAAAGGAACTTTGAGGAAACTCAAGCCTCAGAGTCTTATTTCGTTGGGGGTATTACTTGAAACCCTGACACCGGAGCTACTAGGACCACAGTTGGGACTGTTGGGATCCAGCCCCATACCTCAGCAGCTGGTCTTCATGTTGTCTCTGGCCAACCAGATTCCCCCTGGCTGGGTTTTCTACCCCAGTCAGGGGTGAGTGCAATACCAATGGACACCAGCTCCAGTCCTGCAGTTGACACTGGCTCCATAACCAGCGCCGATTCTGCTACCTGTCCCAGCCTGCCACCAGTCCCAATCCAGCTGCTGGTACCAGCTCAGCAGCCCACACCAGTCCTGCAGCCAGTTCTGCCTCCTCTGTGATTTAGAGCGACATTTGACAGGACCCCAGGGAAGCTAGTCGACTTCCTCAATTGGGTCTGATCCCACATTGATCAATATGGGGACCAATATCAGACCGATTGCGACCTGATTTTAGCAATTGCAGATGGCATGAATGAAGGAGAGGCAGTGGAGTGGATAGCTGAGCTACATGATGAGGGAGCCCCAGAGCTAAATGA